ATGCACACGTTTCTCCAGCTACTAAACTTTTAATGATTTTGTGGCTTTTAAATGATGAAATCCCTAAATTCTTCGGAAATTACAAATGTTTTCAGTTATTCACACAAAGTGAGGAACAATTGAAGAATTAAGGCATTTGGATAAACTTGTCTATGTAGTGGTTCAATAAAATTAAGGAAGACAATAAATCACAAATCAGTACCAGTACTGCACTGTATATTGTGACTGTAAACTGTGTAAAAATCTATATACTCACTCTGTTGGAGTCAACTCTAGACCTGGTGGTATGTGACTGAGGAGCCATGGTGAATCCTCGAGGCACCAGATACTCATCAGCATCCATCAGGTCATCCAGGTCCTCCTCGTCGAGGAGGCTCTGAAAGAACTTGCTGTCGTTAGGGCTGGGGAGCTTCATGCGGTCGTCTCCCTGAGGAGAACAGCAACAAGTTCTTCATTGATCCGCTATTCTTTATACTTGTTAGGAACATGCAAACAGAAGTGTCCATATCAAGCACTCTGACACAGAGGCGGCTGGAGAACACACCTGGATGACCAGGTATCTCTGAGGGTCACGAGCCATTCTGCAGAACTCTGCAGCCAGTTCTTTGAACTTGGGCCTGCTGTCTGCATCGATCATCCAGCCTGTGAAGGGGACAGGAAAAAAATACTGGTTTAAAAAAATGAAAGAAGACGAAAAATGGACGAAAATCTGTCAGTCCAAATGAGTTCATGGTCACATTATTTTTATCTAAAGAAAGCAACAGTTAAGGAAGGATTAAAACAGTTCTAACACATTTTGGGTGGTGGTATTATATATATATTATTATACATTATATTGATAAAATGTTTAAATGAGGGTTCAGCTCCAGTTGATGATCACTAGTCTAGACTTCTTCTATCTTTTGTTAAAACTGGATAACATATTTTTGCCTAATACTTAACTTCTTTATTCTATTTTTCTAACATTTTTTATATTTAAAAAAACATTGATTTTGATCAAGGTTGTTTGTATATTTGTCTCACTTTTGGCAAAGTTTTCCTCATTTTTATTTATTTACAATCTTACTTTTTTGTTAAATTTATTCACCAAAAACAGCAAAATTGGATGACATGTATTAGCTATGCTTTTGACAACTTTTCTGTTAAGTAGACACACTGTATAGAGAAACATACTGTAAAGATAATCCTTGAGGAGTTAATGGTCAACAGTCAACAAGACAACAAGACAACAAGAGTGTGTCTCTCTTTGTTTTATTTGGCTTGTAGGATCAGATTCATGGGCAGAACCAGTTTGGTTTCTCCCAGGTTACATTTGGCCAGTAAATTCTTTTATGAGATTATTGTTTCATACCCTGATCTTGTGGTGGGAGATTAATTTAGCAATTTAAGTAAGTCATTATTCCTGGAACGTTTTATATTCCTGCTCCTCAGTTTTGTCCTTGTTTAACTTGGATTTTATGAATATTTTTGACATACCTTTCTGACTAAATCTTTTGCCTAGGTTTTATTCGATCATTTGGCCCATTCTTATTTGTTTTTTAATGTTTATATATTTATAATAAACATTTTCTTGGATTGTAATCCATTACATATGTAATTTGTAATGAAGTACATTAGCCTTTGAGGGCACGCTGTCTGACCTCAATATTCATAATATTCTACTTTATTTTAATGTTATATTTACAGTCAAAAACCTCATCTCATTTATCTCATGTATTCAGTCATCCTCGTACTACACACTGAAGAACTGAGGACTGCCCCTGTTTTTGTCTGTGGTGTATGACGAGTGCACAAAGTCAGGCTGGAGAAATGGACAGACTGGTGGCAGGAGAGGAAACAATAGCTGCCAAGTCGCCTTTAGCTGATGGAACACATTGGCTGCTGTGGCTGGAATATTTCCTAGAAATCTGTGAGAGTGGATCCCTCTGCAGCTAAGATACCGCAGCATCATCAGCGTGTATCAGCCAAGGGAGGAAAAACAAGGGAAAGAAGACAAGGAAGAAGGGAGACGAAGATGTTTGAGGATCAACAGGACAGGACAGAGTTTTGGTCAAGGCTGACAAGTAGCCAGGCACGATATTCCATCTGGAACCAAACAGGAAGAAAGATATGGAACAAAGACGCGCAGAAGCCTGATGCATTTCTGTGACTTTCTTTTTCCAGATACTGCAGCTTCTTTAATTTGATCTTTCTGTCTCCAAGCAGCCTATACCAAGTTATTATACAAGTCCTTATATGCTAAAGGCAAGACAACATCACAGAATCACGTTTGGACTTGTCCTTGAAAAACAAAACTGGAACAGCCAAGAAATACCAGCGATCAAACTTTTTTTGGAAAACTCAACTTCATTGTTTAAAACTTTTTCTCAGCCTATTAGATTAGCATGGAACTGACTATGACAGAATGTAATACTGCTACATTTTTCAAATTGTATAATTGAACAACATTAACATTTTCCAAATCCAACCAAGTATCTGCTAAATCTAGATTATAATATTTGAATTTATTTCCCTAAAACACATCAAGCCCATCGACTGCTCTCTTCTTTTCACCACAGTTGAAGTTTCTAAATTCTTCTGTTTGTTCCTCTGACCTTCCACAGTGGGGTAATTCACAATGAGCTGGCAGGGGCAACAGTGGCCTCCAATCCATTTGAGTTTGAGAGCCCTATTTTAGACAACAAATGAAAAATGTGGTTTTGAACAATTACTATGCACTCACATTTCACCATAACCATGTAAACATCGATGGTGCAGATGGGGGGTTGAGGCAGACGCTCTCCCTTCTCCAAAATGTCAGGGATTTCTCTGGTTGGAATGCCGTCGTATGGTTTACCACCGAACGTCATCAGCTCCCAGATGGTCACGCCTAGGACAGAGAATTAAAAGGTGTTCAACGTAGATGAACGTGCCAAGTCTGAGGGTTTCATCCGAGAGTCTTTCTCAAGCTTTTACCATAGCTCCACACATCACTCTGATGGGTGAACTTCCTGTAGTGAATGCACTCCAATGCCATCCATTTAATAGGCATCTGAAAAGAGACAGACAGATTGTTTTTACATTTCATTAATTCATAGATGGTACTTTTCTCAACATCCTTTAATCTACACTCTGTATCGGTGAATTGACAAACCTTTCAACCTGTTGTTGGCTCTGCTCAATAATACTCAAGTACAGTGATTGATTAGCTCGAGGCTGCCCCAGGATGCATCCAGGCGTGGCTTTCTAAAGACGCTGAATGAGAACGTGTTGACTATTTGTCTCGCATTATCTCAATCAGAGCGGGCGGCGTGTAAACAGAAATAACAACAAGCACTTTGACTTTCTGGAGAAGGGTGAGGCAACAAAACAGCACGGCCACGTTCTACCTTCCATAGGTATAATTATCATATCAACTGCAGACGGGAGACAAGCTCATCGACGGGGACAATAACGAACCATTTATGTATGTGAACTGCAGGATCATTGAGAATACGACACGTGTTCTTCAGGGAAATAAATAGGAAAGAGGGGGGGGAACAAATTCAGGTTGGAAATGTGAAAACCTGTCTGCAATTTCATCTGTGTTGATTTGACTCCCATGGCACAGTTTTTATGATGTACATGCGGTTGTGCTGACAACGGCTTTCATTTATTGAGTCATCAGTGACCACCAACATGGACCCACTCTGCCAGACGGCTGCATCAAACATGCCTGGGTTATGAAAATAGCACATAACTTGAGATGCAGAGGCAACAACCTTCAGGCATCCAGCTTGAATAGACAGAGCAGCGAAGGGTCCCATTTAATAAACCGACTTGATCAAAACAATTTGCATCAGTCGCTCTCGAGTGAGGAGAAAGAAAATGGGCTGCTGATTAATGTGGTTCATGTTCCCTAACAAAAGAAACCAGGTGGGAGCGAGGCTGCAATATTGTTTGTATGATTGTTTTGGAATTTGCAATTTCTCCAACTGGAAGTTCACAAACGCTTCACAGAAGTGATGCTGTTACAGATTAGAGACATTTTTCCTTTGGAAGAAAACAGTAAGAAAGTAAGAACAATCTCCACAGTGTATTCAAGCAATTGTCTCTGAGAAGAAAAATAAATTAAACCCAATTTCTTCTAAAATATAAATCTATCCCAGTCTTCTCTGTTTTTTGGCAAATGTTTACTAGAGATGTGGTTATTTAATTCACATCAAACGCAGGAGGTTAGGAATCCTTCGGTGTAACCTAAAAGTTTCACATTAGAATAGATACCAGTTCATTTATTTTAGGCATATGTGATTGGCAGCAGTTTATTTATCTGTGTGCTTGTACACACACACACACACACACACACAAACTGACAAACACAAAGCATGCATTTGCCTCCACTTACACCAACCTTGCCCCCGTCTGCGTTGTACTCCTTCTCATCAGCGTCCAGCAGGCGTGCCAGGCCAAAGTCAGTGATCTTAATGTGATTGGGGGACTTCACCAGAACATTCCGGGCTGCCAGGTCCCTGTGCACCAGCCTCCTCTCTTCCAGGTACATCATCCCCTGATATACAAAAATGTACACAGGAAAAGAGAGTGTGAGAGAAGACAGAGAAGGGATGGCATTAGAAGACAATTAACCCTCTGATGGAGCCATTCATTACCATCAGTTTTATGGTGGCGACAGCCTGTGATCACTGATGCGATAAATGCCAGTGCTAACATTAAAAGTGATTGTCATAACTGTCATCATCATTAACCATACACCCACAGGGACATTCACATTTCATCTTTAATCAATATCACAGCCTCTGTGTGTGACTCCGGGAAAGGAAGACGGATTTTGATAGCTTTCCAAAAAGATCAAAAAGTCTGAAACTTTGACTGGTGAGAAGTAACAGCATGAACAGCCTAAACCCAGTGTGAAGGTTCTCAGCCATCGTGGTTTACGTCCACCTCTGTCCACAGTTTTGAAATAGCAGACAGGGAGGTCAAAAGATGTGTCCTCACTGCTTGGTAATTATTAAAAATTGACAGGCGAAAAGTGGAAGGCACAAGCCTAGCCGGTCTGCGGATTGACAACCCAGTCTTCTCAGTGAAATAATGGGCCATTCCAGCTGTGTCTGATTCTCTGTTTTATGACACACTGCACATTTTCACTGAGATAAGATCTGAACTGCAGGCAGGCCAGTCTGAACCTGTACTCTGTGTCTATGAAACAACACTTTTGTAATTGATGCAGGAGGAGCCATGACATTGTCCTGTAGATAAACTGACTGTGGCCCAAAGGGCTTCAAAAAATCCAGTGTATGGACTGCTCTGTCCGAGACATGGCCACAAACCACGTTTTCATCAACCGTACAATGATTTTCCTTCACAGTTCATGGAACCTTGTTCAACAGGGAGCTTCAGGTGAAATGCCAAAGGGCTCAAAGGTCCAAGATGTTTAGCATGATTTCCACCTTTGGCCGTCAGGCACAGGTACTTCACTATTACACGGCATGACTAATTCTGCATGGTTCCAATCTAAATTCTAAACCTTCTCCAGAACACGTACACACACTCCTCTCTGACGTCTGTGCTCACAGTTGCACAGTGAAGGCAGGGAGACAGACAAGACTGGACCACTTGAAGTGCATTAGAGTGGATGTTAAACAAGTGGACGCCACTTAACAGCGGGATCAATAAAGAGCACCTTGGTGAATGAACACATCGTGCTCAGTAGACAATGAAATATTTCTACAGAGGCTCTGCTGGCACAGGGAAGTCATTGTCCATATGGAATACTTAAGGTGAAAACACTGTATGTTTGTGCAGGCATACAAACAAACAATATTACTGAGTGTAGTAATGCTCTGAGTGGCGGACCACACGGCGTTGCCTCCTCCCAGACAAATGTGAAAATGAATCGATAGCAGTGGCGTTCGGCGCATTGTTGGCCGAACGCCTCATCCATCATCCCGAAGCCTCGCAGAGACAGACGCAGATGCACACGTGCTGACAGAGACCACCCAGACATCACATATATATCTGTGTGCGTATGTACATATATATGTGTGTGTATATGTATAATCTTTTTTTTTCCGGATATATTTTATTAAAATAACCAAGAAAAACAACCGTTCCTGTGATACCGTCTCTGTCTCCTTCAGACTTTATTATTTAACTACCGGTTTCTTCTGCATCATTCTGGTACTTTTCTAACCAATATGAAACAATGAACAGGAACAAGGCCACAGACACCACTGCCCCCCTTTTCTGTTGAGAGAAAATGTATTTAAAATAGATTACTTCTGTGGCGTTCAGGCAGGCGATCAATAACAATGCTGATTACAATAAGCCTGGAGACGACCGGGGCCACGCAATATTTATCCCCTGTGTCGGCGTCGGATGGAATTAGGAATCAATGGCCCACACAGTCCATTAATACACTTAGACTTAAAGTGATGGGGCAATGAGGAGAGGCCATCACACTTAGGTGAGATTCAGAGGGGAGGGGAGGGTCGTGGGGGTGGTACAGCGGCGCTCAAACATTGAATTCAATTTTGACTTCTCTTAGCAGTAAACAGCAGTGCTCCAGTAGAAGTATGGGAGAGTGTGGGAGATGCCCTGTTTATAAGTCAAGAGAGTCCTACAGGTTTTACTGCTTTATCACCGCAAGTCTCCGATTTTCTGCATATTTTCACTGAGAGTCTGAAAATGCACTCTGGAGTCCTAATTTGGTTAAGGAACAAATGGACCTGAATTCTTTGTGGTAATTGACAACTTACAATTTATAAAAAGACTAACTGTTGGCCTCAGCCTAAAGGAACTGTAGAAAAAATCAGCACGTACTGCCTGTTTTACACTTGAATAAACACGGTTTATTTATAAAAACAACTGTTATTTCAAAATGCTACGACAAACACAAAGACATAAAAACATTGACAAAATTTAAACTCTAAAAACCAGATATTTATGTTTACTTCTGCTATACTGTGTGGAAAACATATACTTTACCCCCCCCCAAAAAAGAACTTGGTTTCCATGTTCTCTAATGGTTTTAAATTTCGTGCAGATATTTGTATATTTAGTGTATATAAATAGTACAATTGTCTGTATATATAGATAGATGGATAGATGGATAGATGGATAGATATAAATGGCAAATGTCGAGTCATGGACGCAGGTGAAAACTATAGTAGCGGTGACTCATGATAAAGACAAAAAGAGTTTTGTCATTGTTGTCTTTAGAGCAGGAAGCATGCAATATCAAAACTGAAGACCACAAATACAAATTTGCAACAATCGAGTATGGGCTCTCTAAACACATTCAACGAAATTAAAATCTATACAGGAACTAAATTTCACTACTATCGGACCACGACCCAGCTCACTGGATTACACCTGGCGATAAGAAAACAAACAAACAAACAAAAAATACGTGCAATACATGAAACAATACATGAAAAAATAATGGAAAATTGTAATAAAAATCCACAGGGAGCAACAAGGAGTGAGGTAGAAGCTGCTGGGGAATAAACAACAACAATAATAATAATTATAACGACCGTGCGTAGAAGAAGTGATTTTGCTCAAGCCGTTTGGACAGTAAATGTTATTTTACAGAACAAGCCACACAGGTATAGGATAAGTTCATATAATAAAGTCCCCACTAAATGGCTCCTTGAACTGTATTCATGAAAACATCTTATTCTCATTCATGTCAAAAACACAACGATGATAGCGCCACCTGTGGCAGAAACCCTTGGTGTAAACCCTTCTGCCCAACCCACCACATAAAAAGACTGCAAGACCAATGCGGGAATGTTGGCAAGCCAAAAACTGGGACTACTGCGATAAGGGGCGCGTACAATGGATGTGCTCAGGTGGCACAGGTGGTCGTCCGTCATGCACGGTGTGCTGCGCTGAAGATAGAAGGAACGGAGCTGGCAGTCTCTTAAGCATTTGTATAAAAGTCTGTGTGTGTGCGTGTTTTGGAGAGTCGTAATGAGGCACTCGTGTTATGACGAGCCTCTCTTTAATCACTTAAAACATACGAGTACAGAACAAAAAAAGGTTCCATTCAGGTAAAATTTATTTCCAGTAGTTTTTTTAAAATACGGCCCAGCAATAATCATAAAACAAACTACCAGCTTTGCACTGCTCCTGCCTGCTGAGTCCAGTGGTTAATGAATGATCCATGTGGATGTGACGGTGGGGAGAAGTCAGGGCAAGGGCCCATTTACTCTGCATTCAGCTATTTTGGAGCCACGGTGCAGAAAAGAGGCACCTACCCATCAGGCAGGGATGAGTGAAGCGTGAACATGAGTCGCAGGCTTTGAAGGGTGCAATAAAGAACCACATTTTCTCTAAAATACAGTGTGGGCTCCTTGTCCTCCAGTTTCCATTCTTATTTATGTCCCTGACTACAGAGAGAAGAAGTTTATAAGTAAAAGTATCTAAGTTCTCTCACTATAATCTATACTGTGCTGTGGAATATAAGGACACATTTGAAATGTCATTGGACAGCCTACGGAAGGCCAGGCTGTATAATTTACCTGTGCAAATGTCAAAAACTGTGGGGAGTGGGATTCCAAGTAGAAAAAAAAATGAGAATAATTTACTCCTGGGCTATTTTCGCTGAGTAAAATGTTCTAATGGTTTAAGTGGGCTGAGAACAATCTAGAATTCAACACTCAGTTGGTTTCGGGTTTGTCATTGAGGCGATATTGGTTGTCACAACACAGTTGGTTTCTGGTTTGTCATTGAGGCGATATTGGTTGTTTTTTTTTTTTCTTTCTGAGACTTCAGTATAGTAATCTAACCTAACCCTACCAAACCTTTTAATCACTTCACATCAACTGCATAAGATAACTGCATGTTATCTTATAAACTTCTAAATTTCAAATCAATTTTCATCCTAAATTAGGCCCTAAACCAGATGAACGCAGAGTTTGAAATCCTGAAAGTTCAGTTTTACCAAAGAAAAAACCCTCAGAAATGTACACTGAAGCGGGGTGTCCTGCTGGGTGTCATCTGTAAACAACTTCAACAGTGAGATCTTGAGAGGTCGGTGATACATCTATTGATTTTCACAAGGAGACTAATAACAGGTTTTATCCTCAGAACCAAGGAGGCAGAAGAAAACAAATGATTGATTTTCATTTGACCACCTTGACAGTAATGCCTATAATTTACCTTCTACTTGATGGGACAATATTATAGTGTTTAATGCCCAGACACTGTGGATAACTACAGTATCATGGTGAGAGCACTCCGCCACCACTGACTAACTAATAGATTGACTGTTGTCTTAACCTACTGTGAGCATGCACACAATAAAAAGATCTGCTCAACTTTGATTGGTTATGTATGCGTGTGTGTTTTTAAATACATATTATCCTATATATAACATGCAGAGATAAATTACAGTAATAACCTCGGGTGTTCTGTTTTGGTCTTTATTCAGCATGTAGTGCTCCTTCCGTAGCCTGTGTCAGTTGTAAAGTAAGCCATGCATTGGGACTGCTCCAATATCCAAAGTTGCTTCACTGCTTTCAGAAATAAATGACCTGGATGACT